CAGGTTTTTTATTATATTTGGGAACTTCACTACTCCCCTCACCTCAAATCTTTTAGCAAATTATCACCCCCTTTGAGAACTTCATCTCAGAAACTCATGAAACATTTAACGCTCAAACGCATATTCCCCTATGTGTCTTCTCATTCATGACCCAACACCTGAACCCAATGAGTAAAGCTTTGGAGAAAGAGATATCAACCATTCTCTTTATTGGCCACCAAAGCTTGGGGAAAAAACAGCTATAATGTAGATCTAGATGTTCTATGACACTGCCTCAAGAAAACTCATGGATTACAGATGCATTGCGACCTGACAAATTAAGTCTGCATGATATCAGTTTCACCAGAACTCGACAAGTTCAAATTATAATTCACAATAAAAAATTTAAGGCTAAAAAATGTTTTGGGCATGAGTTGGTCTGTTAACCACTTTGCTTCAAAATCTGGACAAACTACACCACCATCCCAGATCAGTGAAAGGCTAATAACATGTCTCATGGAGCTCCTGACGCTGGCTGTAACTTAAAAGTTTGCACCCTTACACTTTTACGGTGCTGGAATATCTGGTTTCAGATAGAATTAGCTAATAAAGCATGATCTGTGCTTGCTTAGCAGCAGTAAAGGCCAGGAGAGACATTGGGAGTCTAAAAGAACCCTGATGTCTCCATAAAGAGGACCTGTCACCTGCCCAATGTTATCACATAGGGCCTTTTTTTAGCCCCCTTGTGATATTAATAAAATTTAATTTAAAAATGCCATTTAAAAAATGTTTTAAAAAAGATTAAAAGCAACTGCATATACCCACAAATGCACAGGGAGCACCCATGTATTAAAACGGTAATTTTACCACACATATCTTATATCATATCATGAATGTTGGAGTGAAACCAATAATTTTAGCCCCTCATTTATTGTTTAATCTAAAATGACAATCTGTAAAGGCATTTAAAAGATCACCTAGGTACCATACATTTTTGCCATTTTTTTGGATGCATGCAGTTTTAAGGTTTGACACATTTGGAATCTATTTCACTACCTCATCTTTAATTTTGGACAAACAATTGGGGAACAATATGTGTTTGTATACAATGAAATTCATTTAATGTATTTTTCATTTTTATTCTACAGGGCCTCTGCTTTCAGAAACTATATAATATTCTGGGGGGGGGTTAAAAATGTGTAAAAAAACAAATTTAAAAAAAGCTCTCTAGAGGGGAACTAAGTTAATACGTTTTATTTTATTTAGAGCAATACTTCCTATTTTTAAGCTTTAGTTTGCCTATATCTCTTTGAACTTGCGTTTACCTGATGGTTGCTGAAGACTGAAATGAAAAGCAGATATCTTAAAATTAAATAAGATAAATGGTTTAAATACATTTTTATTTTAGAATATAAATTATGTGTTATTTGACACAATTCATTTTTTGCAGTGTACTAAAATGAGAGTAAGACTGAAGGGAAATTTGTGATAAGTGATATACAATATTTTAGCAAAAAATCATAGTCACACAAAGTACTGAGTATAATTGAGTGCCTCAGCACCACATCCCCAAAGTAATAAATGAAACAGATACTTGATGTGTGACTGATGCAGGGAAACGCAGACTTCAGAAATGTGATAAACAATATAATTTATTAACACTAACCATACAAACATAAACGCAGGGCAATACTAAACATAATACAGTGCAAACAAACCAAACCAACCACCCACAGATAACAGTACATACAAGCAAGCGTCGTCAGGCAGGCCGGGTCAATACAATTGGGCAGGTAGGTACGGGGGGAGCAAGCAGAGAATGGTCGGGGTCACAGGCCAGGTTCAGCAGGTAGCAAGCAGCGAGGTACAGAGGGTCAGACAGAGGGGTGGTCAGGGTCACAAGCCAGGATCAGAGCAGGAGAAGTCAGCAGCAGTTCAGATCAGGGTCAGCAAAGGAACAGAAACAGGATGCAGGACAGATACAGGGCCCAGGACAAACACAACACCAAGGCAGAGTCTGCAAGTCTGGCCATCCCTTAAATACCCCAGTATCATCAGTTCCAGGTGTTAGCTGGCTGAAAGGTTGAGTCTCTGATTGCTGGGAGCACCCGCTGGCCAGCCCTGGTACTGCAGATCAAAAGGCAGGTGAGTCCCACCATTGCTGGCCAGTCCATTCCTAACAGTACCCCCCCCTCAAGGAGCGGCCTCAGGACGCTCCAAACAGTCCTAGCTGGGCAAAATGTTCCACCGCCCGGGTCTGGCAACTGGCGGGATAGCAAAGACTGGCACACCGGGCAGGACTCCGGGCAGCGGCACACCGGGCTGGACTCCGGGCAGCGGCACATCGGCAGAGGCACTCCGGGCAGAGGCACACCGGGCAGAGGCACACCGGGCCGGGCAGGCACACCGGGCAGAGGCACATCGGGCAGGCAGAGGCACATCGGGCAGAGGCACATCGGGCAGAGGACTCCGGGCAGAGGCACATCGGGCAGAGGGACACCGGGCAGAGGCACATCGGGCAGGACTCGGGCAGAGGCACATCGGGCGGGCGGGCAGGCACATCGGGCAGGACTCCGGGCAGAGGCACATCGGGCAGGATCGGGCAGAGGCACATCGGGCACATCGGGCAGGCAGGACATCGGGGGCATCGGGAGGCACATCGGGCAGGACTCCGGGCAGAGGCACATCGGATTACCAGGCGGCAGCAGGCCCCGGGCAGGGGCGGGCCCCGGGCGGGGGCAGGCACCGGGCCCCAGGCACAGGCACCGGGCCCCCGGGCGGGGGCAGGCACCGGGCCCCCGGGCGGGGGCAGGCACCGGGCCCCCCGGCAGGCACCCCCGGGCGGGGCAGCAGGCACCGGGCCCCCGGGCGGGCAGCAGGCACCGGGCCCCCGGGCGGGGCAGCAGGCACCGGGCCCCGGGCGGGGCAGCAGGCACCGGGCCCCCGGCGGGGGCAGGCAGCCCCCCGGGCAGGCACCCCCGGGCGGGGCGCCCCCAGGCACCGGGCCCCCAGGCGGGGCGACAGGCACCGTGCCCCCAGGCGGGGCGACAGGCATCGTGCCCCCAGGCGGGGCGACAGGCATCGTGCCCCCAGGCGGGGGGGCCCCAGGCGGGGCGGGCACAGGCATCGTGCCCCCAGGCGGGCGGTCTCGGGCCCCCAGGCGGGGGGGGGCGGACCCCCCCCCAGGCGGAGCGACAGGGTCTCGGGCCCTCAGGCGGAGCGGCGGGCGCCGGACCCCCAGGCGGAGCGACAGGTCTCGGGCCCTCAGGCGGAGCGGCGGGCGCCGGACCCCCAGGAGGGAGCGACAGGTCTCGGGCCCTCAGGCGGAGCGGCGGGCGCCGGACCCCCAGGTGGAGCGACAGGTCTCGGGCCCTCAGGCGGAGCGGCGGGCGCCGGACCCCCAGGCGGAGCGACAGGTCTCGGGCCCCTCAGGCGGAGCGGCGGGCGCCGGACCCCCAGGAGGAGCGACAGGTCTCGGGCCCTCAGGCGGAGCGGCGGGCGCGGACCCCCAGATGGAGCGACAGGTCTCGGGCCCTCAGGCGGAGCGGCGGGCGCCGGACCCCCAGGTGGAGCGACAGGTCTCGGGCCCTCAGGCGGAGCGGCGGGCGCCGGACCCCCCCAGGTGGAGCGACAGGTCGGGGGAGCGGCCCTCAGGCGGAGCGGGGGCGCAGGTCGGGCCCCCCCAGGCGGAGCGACAGGTCTCGGGCCCTCAGGCGGAGCGGCGGGCGCCGGACCCCCAGGTGGAGCGACAGGTCTCGGGCCCTCAGGCGGAGCGGCGGGGCGCCGGACCCCCAGGTGGAGCGACAGGTCTCGGGCCCTCAGGCGGAGCGGCGGGCGCCGGACCCCCAGGAGGAGCGACAGGTCTCGGGCCCTCAGGCGGAGCGGACAGGGCGGGCCCCCACTGGGCGGCGACGGATCGGCCCCAGGCGGAGCGGCGGGCGCTGGACCCCCAGGCATCAGCAACAGGTCTCGGGCCCCCAGGCGGAGCGGCGGGCACCGAGTCACCAGGCACGACAGTGGGCTCCGAGTCAACTGGTATGACCGCAGGCACTGGGTCAGACATTGTATGGTCTGGCTGGACAGCGGGCATCGGGTCACCAGGCATCAGGTCATTTGGCTCGACAGCGGGCACCGCGTCATCTGGCAAGGCAGTGGGCTCGAGTCAACTGGTATGACCGCGGGCACTGGGTCAGACATTGGATCGTCTGACTGGACAGCGGGCATCGGGTCACCAGGCATCAGGTCATTTGGCTCGACAGCGGGCACCGCGTCATCTGGCAAGGCAGTGGGCTCCGAGTCAACTGGTATGACCGCGGGCACTGGGTCAGACATTGGATCGTCTGACTGGGACAGCGGGCACGGGTCACCAGGCATCAGGTCATTTGGCTCGACAGCGGGCACCGCGTCATCTGGCAAGGCAGTGGGCTCCGAGTCAACTGGTATGACCGCGGGCACTGGGTCAGACATTGGATCGTCTGACTGGACAGCGGGCACTGGGTCACCAGGCATCAGGTCATTTGGCTCGACAGCGGGCACCGCGTCATCTGGCAAGGCAGTGGGCTCCGAGTCAACAGGCACGACAGTGGGCACCGGGGCATCAGGTACCGGATTGTCTGGCTCGACAGCGGGCATCGGGTCACCAGGTATGACAGCGGGCACTGGGTCACCAGGCATCAGGTCATTTGGCTTGTCAGCGGGCACCGCGTCATCTGGCAAGGCAGTGGGCACCGGGTCACCAGGCATATCGGGTCTGGCAGCGGGCATCTGGTCACCATGGCACGACAGCGGGCACTGGGTCACCAGGCATCAGGTCATTTGGCTTGCCAGCGGGCACCGGGTCATCATCTGGATCAACAGTGGGCGGGCATCGGTACCGGACATGGCTGAGTCAATAGGATCGTCGGGCTGGATCAGTTCATCATGCTGGATCATGCAGGCATCAGCTGGGCATCAGGCTGAAGGCTAATAGGCATCAGGCTGGAGAGGCATCAGGCTGAGAGAGGCATCCGGCTGAGAGAGGCATCAGGCTGAAGAGAGGCATCAGGCTGAGAGAGGCATCCGGCTGAAGAGAGGCATCCGGCTGAAGAGAGGCATCCGGCTGAAGAGCATCCGGCTGAAGAGAGGCATCGGCTGAAGAGAGGCATCAGGCTGAGTAGAGGAGTAGAGGCTTCAGGCCGAGTAGAGGCTTCAGGCTGAGTAGAGGCTTCAGGCCGAGTCACGGAAGGCAGGCTCACCGGTTTGGATACTGGCAGGATGGTATTGGTTGGAAAGAATTTTCGCTTTTTTCTGGTTTTAACTACTGGAGCACTGCAAGTAAACGCAGGTCTGCAAACGAATGGAGCAGCTGGAGACAGAGAAAAACTGGAGGATGGAACAGGAGAGGGAGCAGTTGCTACAGAGGGCTCTTTTACAGGGTTAAAGGCAGGATAGGTGCAGCGAGTGGGAACAGGGTACTGACATGCGGTAGATAGCAGGGCAGGAGGAGCTGGTGGGAATACAGGAGTAGAGTTAGAAGCAGGACTGGGTCTTTGTAAGCTGACTGAGGCTGGGTGCAACAAATCTGTCCATGTCTGCAGTAGGGGTTGAACAAAGCTGAGCTTACACAAAGTCTGTCTGGTCAATGACTGCACTGCGTTGATACAATCTCTTAGTGTCTGTGGTGAACATGTGGAGTAACGCTCCAAAAGGTAACCCACATCATCCTCTAATAACCACACCAGGGACTCTACCTGGTCTGCACTAAATGGTGGCAAAAATTCATCCCTGCATTCGGGGGAACCAGATGAAACCAACTCTGCACAAACCTCAATCAATGGCTGCACCTCAGAGAACACTGTGCCCTGATCTACTAGAACATGAGCGAGCCGTATACATTCTAGCAATTCATCCCGGGTATACTCCTTCAGAGTTTGATAAGCATACTCCCTGTCATCAAACACTAGCAGATATAAATACTCAACCTCATCAAGATCCATCCTTCCCATCAACAAGCCAAGATGGCTTCCCTGTGCAGCCACTTCTGGTCAGGATTGGCCTTGGTGTAATGTCAGGGCTCCCAGGTATGACCAGAGATGTGTGACTGATGCAGGGAAACGCAGACTTCAGAAATGTGATAAACAATATAATTTATTAACACTAACCATACAAACATAAACGCAGGGCAATACTAAAAACATAATACAGTGCAAACAAACCAAACCAACCACCCACAGATAACAGTACATACAAGCAAGCGTCGTCAGGCAGGCCGGGTCAATATCAATTGGGCAGGTAGGTACGGGGGGAGCAAGCAGAGAATGGTCGGGGTCACAGGCCAGGTTCAGCAGGTAGCAAGCAGCGAGGTACAGAGGGTCAGACAGAGGGGTGGTCAGGGTCACAAGCCAGGATCAGAGCAGGAGAAGTCAGCAGCAGTTCAGATCAGGGTCAGCAAAGGAACAGAAACAGGCCAGCTGAGCATAGAAACCTGAACCGATTCCCCCATCCACACATTCAAGGTAGATGGGGTAATCCTTCCCATTACACTATTATATTTGGACAGCAGGGAGGTGGGGATACTCCTTCAACTGTCAGAATACACAGATCAGCGTTGCAGCCATTGACTACATGCGCTGATCAAGCAGCTTTTTTCCAACAGAGCAGTTGAACAGAAGTCGATTCTGTGCACCTGCAGTGACCACACATGTATGGCCACCTATAAAGCTGAACTCCATAAAAATAAAAAAAACCCTGTTTACAGTCGGGCTGCATTTATGTCTAAGGGACATGTTAAAGCAATTTTTCTTACCTGATCCTATTCTTCTGTAGGCTTCTCTGCATTAGACCAGGCCCTGCAGCCTCTCCTTCCCTATGCTCTAGCAGTCTAATGTTTTCTGACATGCATAACACTGCATCAGAGGTGAGAATGCTGGGTAGTAGTGCACTTCCAGAGCAAAGGGGAGCACTGTGTACTGGGGATCAGAGGATCATATAAGTAAAACTGCTTTTTCACCACATAGACATAAACAACTAGTTAACCCTTGCAGTGTGGGCGCATTGCCACTGCAAAGGAGGGTATTTTGACTTCTTGGAGCTGAGCTTTAGTGGGATACATACTTAAGAAACAGAAAAATGAAAACACACTGATATAAAATTGGTATTACATATCCCAGTACAAAATTAATTGCACATTGAAATATTCTATCAAAATGAAAAACCTGCCTAAAACACTACAATTGTAGTTTTTTCATACAATATTTATTGAAAAAGCTTTGAAATACAGAGATTTGTCACGACACATGACAAAACAACACAACAAATACAAAAAGAAAAAAAAGGAAAAAGGGGGGCATATCACAAGAAATGGTAAACATACTATATCTCAGTACACTGTATCAAGTAATACAATGAAATTGAAACAAAGAAAAGGAATACGCCTCCTCCGCAGAATATCTGACATGCAAATAGACTTGGTATGAAGCCTTACACTCTTGTATAATATAGTAATTATATCACAATGCAACAAAAAAAACCACAATCTTGTAATGTGTTCAGTTCCAGATATTGCGCAATGCCTGCCCTTCAACAACCTCCGTCCAATGATACATCTGCAAGTCCGCTGAATCTAAAGAAGACAGTAGAGATAAAGAAAGGAAAAAACAATTTTGAAAGAAGAAAATGGTGGGGAGAGGGGGGAGGGAGATGAGAGAGGAAGGAATCCAGCTAAGAAACAATTTGAAAGGATAACAGCAAAACTTCCCTTCTGTAGGATGGCCCAAACGGGACAAAAGGTTCACCTGGATAGAGATACGAATGAAAAATGTGTAGATTCTCAGAATTCAAGCATTCACAATGTTGACACCCAGGTGTCCAGTGGTTACATACAACATACTCCACTCCCTGCTCATCTATAAACCAGCCACACATGTTGAGGCTCAATTTATGAGTACTAAACCATTTCATAAACAAAAGTCCCAACCACTATCAATACCATACTCAAGGAATAAATGGTGAGCACAAGACAAAAGGGAAAAAGTAAAGCAGCTAGCACAATGTGGCAAACCCTCTTTCTTCACCAAAACAAAACACTATAATATCAATGTGCAGCGCTAATAAAAATGTGTGTTATATTCAATGATGACCAGTGTAATTGTAAAAAAGAAAGGAAACATCATAAAAAAGAAATAGGGAATAGTGAATACTCCAATGAAGAAACGAAATGGACGGTATAACAAATGAAAATATATAAGGTGGATCCCTTTGAGAACGTGCGTGCGCACGAAACGCATCAGAGAGGAGCCTACATGCTGATGTCAAGCCGCCGTGTCCACGTGATGGTCCGGCGGCCATCTTTGTAAGTTCTTTTTATCCATTGATGATTTGATGTGCCACGTGGCTGCTGTCTTTTTAATAAAACATACCACACTATATGATACTGTCTCCGGGCTCGGTCTATGAGCTTGCCCTCTAGGAGGAATCCCTTTCCTTGGTTCACTGTGGGCTGGAGATGGA